GATCCTGTGGAGGATGTGAATTAGTTTGAAAATTTACTGAGTTGGTTGTTGCCATTGGGTTATCCCAATATTGAGATCTTATCTGATTTGTATTTTTTTTCGTGGGGGATAGTTTGTTTTTGATGAATGTGCGTAATTATAATTGTGTTCCGCAAAAGTGTTTCTTGTGAACGTTCTGCGTGTTTTTGACGGTATTGTCATGGGTCTATATGTTTGATAATCCATTTGTGAATATTTTGGAGCAACCGAAGGTTTAACGATTGATTGTAAGGTTACCTGTGCTAGTGAAGTGTTTGTATTTCTTGGTGTTGTTAAATTTGGACGTATCGGTGAAATACTTTGTTGTGTAGTTGTTGTTGTTTGGACGATTTCTTCATTTATGAAGTGTGATGGTGTTTGAATATCTTGTTGAGTGAGATTCCTAGTTCCATTAAGGTTTTCATTGTGTATGACGGTCGAATTTAAACTGTTATTTCGCGTATCAGGTAAAAATGTATTGTAGTTTAATGATGTTGCATCAATGGTTAATGGTACTACTCTTACATAATCTCTTGCATAAGATATTGTACTTATTGTTTGACTTGAGATTGATTGTGGGATATTTATGAATGCATAATGAGACCATTCGGGGTCCCAAACGTAGTCTGACTGTTCTGTGATGTCGGTATCATCGTTTGAATTTTGAGGTCTGAAATTTTTTCTTGCTTGTGAAATTAAATCTATATTATGTGTGAAATAATCTATTATAAACCATGCCAAAATTTTTTGTAAGTCATGTTTTGTATGTTGTGAAACTTCATCTTTAGTGAAATTTTCTTTAATTATATGTAGGAAAGTTGAAAATAGTGTTATTTCATGTCGTACCCTTATATGTTTGGATGTCTCTGTCGGTGAGACATTTGAGATTGGGGTTTCGTTTTCTAATTTTGAAATATAACTATATATTATTGCAAAAACTTCATTAGTAAATATGGAGTTTGCTCTTTGTGAGTTATGATATTGTATGCTTTTTATATATTCTAAGAATACTTTTGAAAATTTTAAGTCAAGATCGTCTGTTTGAATTACATATCTGCGGTGATTCGGGTTTGGTGTACTGAATTCTATGGTGTAGATTCCGTATTGTTGTGTTAAATTACATATATCTTTCAGATAGTGATCAATAATTTGTCTTTTGATTTTTACATCTGGGAACTCTGCTTTACATGGGCTGATTCCGGGTTCAAACAAATTTAGGAGGAAGTTCTTGCAAAGATCATGTTGTCATCTATTATCGGGTGCATCTACGAGGAAGGGGTAGATATCGTCATCATCTGGACTATCTTCACTTGGAGTGTGTGTTTGGCTCATTTTTTCGTTTAATGACTGTTAATAGGTAATTATCGATGTGTCTAATTGGTTGATTCCAATTATACAAGTGTACTGGTTTGTGTTTATATTGCTTTTTTATTCTTCTTTTTCCTCTTTTTGATGAATTTGAAGTTGTTTCTGAGTCGGAAAAATATAATTGATCGTGAATGGGGCAATTTTTATCAGTGGATTCTTTTAATTTATAAAGTTCGTCTAAATTGCTGGCTTCTGATTCTGAACATGCGTTTCAATTTTTTGAAAATCTTTTTCGTGTGATTTGTCTTTGTTTGGTTATTATTTTCCTTTTTAGTGTTTGTCGTTTTGTTCTAATATATCCAACTGTTTGTGTATGAGGTGTGATTACAAGGTCGTATTTTTTGTTATCTATTTCACAGTTGTGTAAAACGATTGTTTGTTTGTTTCCTAGATTTTTAAATGACATAAGGTTTAGGATGACGGATGCAAAAAGTTGTTAGATGATTTTTATTTTCTTAAACTGTTAGTCCTTACGATTTTTTGGTTAGCTTAACCTGGGTCTATTTGTTCAGGGTTGGAGAGAAAAGTATATCGATTCCGAAGAATGATTTTTTACTTTCTCGTGGCTAGTATAAGCTAAGGTGTTAACTTACTTAAACTTACTTAGGGGTAGTGATTGTGTTCAAGGGTTGGAGAATAGTAAATCGATCCACAAGGTTCAGGTATAATTAGAACGCAAGTAGTTCGTTAGATACTATTTTAAACTTACTAAGTCTAAGATTTATCCTGGGTCTGGTAAGAGGAGGGTTCAAGTGAAGGATGAATAACCGAAGTTCTTCACTGTTTATCCTAATTTGAGTGATTAGTTTTGTTCAAAAATTTCTATTAGTCTTGGGTTTTTTGAAAGGGTTGGATAGTGAATCGACGTTTGAGGTCGTTAGACACTTGCTAAATTGGTGGGGGAGAACAAAATTGTTCTTTTTGATCCAAGGATAGGCCTTGATGATCAGGTTTTAAATTTAATGAAATAGAAAAATTTAATGTAGATCCAAGGATAAGCCTTGATGATCAGGTTTTAAATTTAATGAAATAGAAAAATTTAATGTAGATCCAAGGATAAGCCTTGATGATCTGATTTTAAAATTATATTTTAAGTTTAAAATGGTTTAAATTGTTCAAAATGTTAGTTTTTGATATTTAGTGAGCTTATTATTGCTGTTATGTTTAGGTGATGAAGCTGGGACAACTGATGATTTTATGATAACTAACAATTTATTGTCATGCTACTAATTTTTGTTTTGATTTTCAATAAATATTTTCCAAACATGTTTTATATAATACTGCAGAATTTAGGAAAACGATCTGAGATCTTTTTATCAATCGTTATTGTATATTAATAATTTTGTTTAGCGCCTGAAATGATCATGAAGATTGACTTCAAGATTTTATGTTTGCCAATGAAAATCTAAATTCATTGCTTATAAAATTCTAAATATAAAAGTTTGTGTTGGCTTTTGTCGTATGTCGTCTCTGGTTCGAGGTCTTCTTCCAATTCCGGGTAGTTCTATTATCGTTCGGAATATTGGCTCTGATCTATTGAGTCGTAGAGACATTTCGATTAAATTATCGTCGTATAACATTTTGAAAATGTTTTGTCTAAATTCTAATCTATTTTTGGTTAATTCTAAGCTATTAAGGTCTTGTTCGAGACTTATGGTCGCACCAGATGAGTTAAAACCGATGTGGTTAACTCATAGAGTAATTTCGGATAGGGTACACCGTCTGCTCGTCACGATATCTTATTTTCGGCCGGATAGATTCGTGCAACTTCTTAGTCTAATACCGATCCTAATCTTACTCTTATACTATCTAGTCTCAGGTTGTTTAACTAGTCTCTGCTAGGCTCAATAGATCTAGGGTATACTGGTTTATTGCGGCTGCTGAAGTTCTCTTGGAGAGGCAACTAATTTCTAAGTTAAATTCAAATCTCTCTGGTGCTGAAATTACAAGTAATTTCAGCACTTACAAATAAATGGGTTGTTAGTTAGATGGATCATGATTGGTTAATATTAAATACTTTACAGTGGTAAAATATCTAATTTATCCAATCATAAAATGTAGTTTAGATCAGGTTCCATAATTAAAGAAAAACTAATTTTAAGAGCTTTTTATAGTGCTTCTTTGGCAAAAATGCTTTTTAATTTTGGTGCTGGTTTTTTTTTCATTTAAAAAACGTTTTCATTTTTTTATTGTTATAATTCCGACCATCGAAAATGAGGAGGAACTTTGTCTTCGTGTGTTTTAGTTCTATTTTTGTTTTCCACGCAAAATCAAGATCCACAAATAATCATCGTATTGGGCTGAGCGATATATCATATAAAAGCCCGTTCACTCGTGATTAGAACCATGTTTTGAGATTTCGTCTAAATTTGAAATTAGTCCAAATTCGAGCAAATTGAGCGAGCGAGCGATCAGGATTACACTAGCTTATTTATGCTTAATTTAAGCCGTAAAATTTAGTTTTACTCAAGTAATTTTAGTGTTTGAAGTTGTTTAAAGCCACTTTGGTAATCAAAAACTTCAAATTTCAAAAGTTCTCTCAACTTACCAAGCACAAAAAATGACACTTATTTGAAGAAAATAATGAAAAAACGTTTGCAGTTTTTTTATGAATGTGGTCGGAACATTCTGGGCTACTTGCTCACCAACCGGCCATACGGGTTATAATTTATTTCGATCTTTTCTGTGCGTCTTCCGCACACTTGGCCTCGAATACGAATACGCGAATGGCAATAGTCTTGGGTCCGAAATTGGCAGAAGATGCATTTTTTCAAACGGGAAATATTCCGTTTCAAAAAAAATGTCGGCTTATTATTTGCCTGCTCATGTTTTTTTTGGCTTAGTTGCTACATCGTATAATTGTTTTTTTTTGCTGTACGTTTTTCACATTGTTGTTGCTTTTAGTGTTTTGATTTACTTCAGTTTGCAATTTCTTCACTTCGTATATTCTTTTTGTTTTTTTTTTGCTTAGAATTTTTTTCTGACCAAATGAGTTTGGTTTGTATTTTATCGGCTTAGTGGCCTAATTTTGAGTCGTTTCAAAGTAAACATGTTTTTTTTTGCTCATTAGATCGCTTAAATTGCTAAAAACTTCATTGAAATAATAGCTTTTTCATGGCAACATTTTCGGTTTTTTTCTCGGCTTGATAGTTTTTCATGGCAACATTTTTTTCGGCTTTTTTTCTCGGTGTGATAGGTTTTGGGACCAAATTATATCGGCCTAATGGCCTTCAAATTGCGTCATTCAACGAGCGAAAAAAATTTGTATTTGCATGTGAGTGTTTTGAGGGGGAGGGTACGTGTTAACTTTTTTAAAGTCTTAAACCTTGTTGATTTTGTTTTCGGCTTAAAGGGTTTCTGCTAAGGTATTTTCGGTTTTGTAAACGCTTTGTAAGTTTTCTTCCGATTTGAATATTATATTATAATCACTGGAAGGTTTTGGTTTCAAAACTAGCCTGATTTATTTTGATAGATTTAGTTTTTTCGACATTTTCGATATTTTTTCGAATTTTTTTCCGACTTGGCGTCTTTCTAGTTTCGAATCGCAAGTGGTGTGAAGGGCAGCTTTGCCTCTGTGTTATAAATTCTTAATAATAGAAATTTATCTGCTTCAGAAAACAACAACTTCTTGGCTCTTTATGATGATGCATTCTATCTGGTTCCGCAGATTGACCAATTAGGAGTGTTTGGACTGCACACGAACCGGGTATTTGATCGAGAAGATTTCGACCCCTGTTCACAAGCACCTCAATTGAACATCTTTGCACATGCTATCAGTCGCGATTATAGATACTTAGTGGAACTGCGGGTAAATAAGAGCTTCCGATAAATGTTTTTGAACAAAATGATGGACGTATTGTTAAATAGATTCAGGGTTCGGTTCCGACCGAAAGAGAAGATTTTAAGTCATGATGGTCTAAAATCCGAAGACTTTATAGTAAAAGCAAAAAATAATGTCGCCTGCCCAGACTTTCTGGGCTACACTCATTTTCGGTATGCAATGTTTGATTTTCTGTAGATTCTTGTTGAAATCCGAGACCAAGATGACAAAGCGCTCGAAGTTATTGGTGTAAATAACGTCAGTGTCTATAAACAAATGTCATACAATCTTCCATTTTTCGCTCTGAATTTTGCGGACGAGGATTCCTCCGGGCAATTCGGGGACATGAACGTGACCTACGCTGCAGATCAGTCATTAATCGGTTAGAACATTTTGTAGTATTGTTCGGCTGCCTTTTAGGTAAATTTTATAAACTTACAATTAAGAGTGATGAACGTAGTGATTACGCCTATATATGTCTTCATTTTTTTGTTGCTTTTTTTCAGGAAAAAGTCTTGAAATTTGTTCACGCTCAAATTTGAGTTCAGTTCGTTTCCTTTGTTAAAAGGAAGGTAAACTCTACTATCGAACAGCGAAAGTAAAGGTCAGGACAAACGTGATCGATTTCTAATCAGTCATAAATTGTTCTTGAAATTTGAAGAACTTAAACGCCACTTATTTTATACTTCGAAATTCGAAAGTTGTGAAAAACAAGTCAGTATTTTTTTGGTTCCTTGCGTTCATTACTCTTTTCTGCCTGTTGGCTATGTTTGAAAACTGATATCACTGTATAAGTTCTTGATTTTATCCCGTATAAAAACTAGCTTTAACAAGAATTGCGAAGGTAGAAGTGAAACTTACTGCTGATTCACATGATTATTTTTGAGTTTAGAAGTGTCATCATGGCTCATTGTGGATCCTGCAAACGGGTGTTTGAGCTTGAAGGACCTTTTCGAAACTATCATTGCCGAGTTCCCATTTAAAGCACGCATCACACTTCGTGTTGAAAAGGGAGAACAGATTGCAGAACATCAAGTGTGGATCAATTTTGAAGATTTTGAGACTATTAGACCCAAAATATCTCATCAAAGCCTCAATGGCATTGCTCTGGAACCTTGGATAATTCCGAATTCAGAAATATTGAATATGAAGTCACAGCTTGCAAATTCGAGTGACCAGCAGACAGTGAGTTTTGTGGCTGTGTTCAGAGGAGTCGACGCTAACGAAATCTTTTATTTAGACGCCTCGACTGGAGTTATTTCTGTCAACTCTGAGCTAAACCGAGAAATTTCACCTGGGTTCTATCATATGTTTTGGTTCGCATATTCCGAGGAGCACCCTTCTCTGCAATCAGAAGTTGGAGATATAGAGTTTGAGGTCTCGGTTGATGCTTTCAAAGATTGTGTTAAATCGCCAAAAAATGACGGAACTGTGCTTTTGGTGCCCGAAAATTCCCCACCTGGAGAAATGAGTCGTTTTAAGCTGTTTGATGAAAAGTGCTCGAGTTTGATTAACGTAATTGAAACCCAATTGAACGATGATTTTCACTCAACATTCAGTGTACAGCTCGATGATGTGTTCCTTGCTGTGATTTTGGATAGAAAAATTGACACGCTCCTGGAAACTGAAATCGACCTGGAAGTACTAATTCGTGCAAGAAATGGTAAATTGACTCTAATTATCATTGGATGAGATATGTTTCAGTGGTAAATCTTTCTATAAAGTAATTAAGACGTCAGCTTCGTGCAAATTTATTGTTATTTTTTTGGGTTATCATTCTGGTTATCTCACCAGGCTTTAAAATTAGCTTTACTTCGAAAAATTAATGTTGGACCATTTGTGAAAAATCGAGGGCTGCGAATATTGCAACACATTCTCAAAGAGTTAATTAATACGACAATTTTTTGTTCGTTCAAAGGTGACGGTGACCTGTTTGTGAGTTCTGAGATCATAGCTCGAGTACAAGTAGTTGACCGAAGTTTGCCTGCATTGCGTATACTGAGAATTGGGCACCAGCCTGTGGTCTCTCGAAACTCCAATTCAGACTCCAGTTTGCTGTCTCTCCCACAAATTGACCACAGAGTCAAACTAGTGACTCCCTTGTACACTGCTGCTGGAACGGTTCTTGCTCAAGTGCAGACTAGCTATGATGACCGAAAACTCCCTACAGATTCTAGTGTTGCGTGAGTCACTAAGATGAAAATTACGGTTGCAAAGCATTATGATATTGAAAGAGGATGTAAAACGATTTTTGATAATGGTAATTATGATGCTTGAATCAAACTCGTTAAATAAAATTTACTCATGATTAAAATAGCGTGAAGTTTTGAAAGAGCTCGAACGTTTTTAGAAGCAAGAAGTTTTAATAGAAGGTAATTTTGAAATATGATTGGATTTTGATTGGATTTTTTTTTAGCTTTTCCGTTTCTTCGTTGGATGAGCAGCAGCTTCCATTTACTATCTGTGAGACGAGCGGAGAAATAATTGTGATGTCTAAGTTAACGACTCAGACTGAATACAAGGCTCAAGTGACAGCTTCGTCAGTGAGGAATCACTCCGAGACACATTCGGTACCATTCACACTTCAGGCAGTCAGAAGTACACCTGAAGAAGAGGATCCTTGCTTCTTGTCAATTCAGAGAAACAGAGTAGTTCTTGCGGCCCCTCTGGAAGTTGGAAGTAAGTGTTAAGCAAGTATTGATTAATTGATTTTCCCCTTAACACAAAATTTCTGGGATGATCTATTGTTTTCTTCAAGTTTTTTCAGAACTTGTTTAACTTTCAGTTTTCTTTGGTCTCGCAATGGGCCGATAGCATTTCGAACAAACCCCACAACAGCCAATGAGTTCACATACATGGAGCTTTGCATTATGCCCTTTGCTATGTGCGAGTTTTTGTTCCAGCTTTCGTGTCGCAAGTAGTGTGCGAAGGAGGAACGTCTTTAGCAGACGTTGAGTGGACCAATTTGGAAGGCAACATCGTGGCTCTAGCTGCTCAGACTGGATTTGTGACAATCAACCTTCATATTACAGATCTTGGAATATACCCTGTTCTCTTGTCATATGTAACTCATGGCTTTTATGGACCATTCACAATTGAACTGGAGATAGAACTTAAACAAATACCAGTTGTTGCAAGCCCACAGTTCGAAGCGCTGACCGCATCTGTGTCAGAAGGAGAGGAAACGGATCTTTTTTCTTTTGCTTCAGCTGATAATGACGTTGAATATCGATTGTTGGGGTCAAGTTGTGGAATTGAACACATCGAAATAATGAACCTAGGTGAGGAGGTATTAATAAGAACGAAGGCAAGCTTGGATTTTGATGCTAGTTGTGAATTAATTGAGGACATTTATGTAATGGCGACTGATGAAAGTGGAATAAGTCGAATTTACGCGGTGACTGGTGCGATCCAAGTTGTGAACAGAAATGACCATGTCCCATCATGTGGAGGCGTGGCAGCGTATATGTCACTTCTAGTTAACGAAAATTTCCGAGGAATTGTATCAACAGATCTCGCGATCGAAGATTTGGATGAAAGTCCATTCAATCAAACGTCAACCAAGATTTTCCCCGCTGATCGGAACTCACGGGATTTTCTGGATGAAGGTCTCATCTCTTTAATTAATAACATGATTACCTTGACTGCCAGTGATGAAAACCCTTTGGATCGAGAAAGTTTCCCGGACTCATTTGATACCGAATATAGCTTGAAATATATTGTCCAAGTCACCGATATAGACAGTGAGCTGAAATCGACCTGTTTGTTCGAGTTGCTGCTTTCTGATGCTAACGAGTTTGTGCCAGAATGCAGTATCGGGAATGACGAACACTTTCTTGAAATTGCGGAGACATCGCCCATTGGCTCAAAACTTGGAAGAATTGCATGCAGAGATCAGGACGCATCGCAGTACCCTGTGAACAAGTTTAGTCTGCTCGAAGGAGGTCAAAATTTTGAGATAGATGACATTACAGGGGTGGTGAGAAGTAAGACACAGTTTGACTTCGAAGATAACGACAGATACCAGCTGAATGTGTTGGTGCAAAATGGACGCCTGGAAAGCAGTCTGCTAGTAGAAGTTGTAGTTACGGACGAGAACGATGAAACGCCTAGATTTGAAGAATTGTCTACCCTAATAGTTCAAGGTTAGACCATTACATTTTAAACTACCTTGCTACCTTAATTTCAACCAGTTGTACAAAAAAAGTTGCTCAAAAACCAAGGACTCTAAATTCTGAATGATCACATGTTATTTTCTCAGATGTGCATTATATAGGTTTAGGAGATATTTGCGTTGAAAATCATTCGAAACTTTCGCTCTTTTGTTTTCTAGAAAACGAAGCAATTGGAGTGGATATTGGTTCCATCTCTGCAAGTGACGTTGATGACTCTCCAGTCAAGTTCAAGTTCATGCACCTGGAAGATGAGAAGATGTTTTCAATCGACTCTACGTCTGGCAGAATTAAGGTATGCCATTTCTATCTGAAAATAAGCTTCAATTTTATCTGGGAGGTTAGTTTTTGAACCATTTGTTTTTTTAGTTTTCGAAAACAACTGAAGATGCAAAATAACCAGATTTTACATCCACCGTGAACCAAACAGCTGTAAAGTGTCTTTGACTTTGTGATATAAAAACCTCATGAAGTTGGAAGCTTTATGGCGCAGCATGTACCAAAAAATTCCTGTTTTAGTGTAATGAACGTAGTGAGTACTTCTATATAGGTCTTGCTGATTTTTTTTTTTTTAAGAAAAAGTCTTAAAATTTGTTCACGCTCAATTTTTTTTCTCGCTGTTTGACGAATTTGTTCTGGCTAAATTTTCTGTTTTTGAGTTTTGAATTTCGACGAATACCGAATTTGTTAAAGGTTGCGAAAAACGTGATCGACTTCTATTTCGAAAATGGAATTTAAATATCAGATTTCCCAGCTAAATAAAGTTTTGCCTATTGATCCAGTTTTCTCAAATTGGGTCAATTTTAACAAAAATGTCCATCATAAATTGTTCTACAAATTCAAGAGCTTTAAAGCCGAATTTTTTTCTTCGAATTCAAAAAGTTGAAGCTTTTTGAAAAAACAAGTTTTTTATTGAGTTTTCTTGTGTTCATTACTTATTTCCAACCATCAGTTGGCTATGTTTGATATAAACAGATATTATGAAAAATTAATGTGACCGTGTTTTTTGAGACGCTTAGCAAAATTTTTACACTTTATCTCAAAAACTGCTTAGTCAATTTTCGAAAAAGTAATACCAATAGGAATCCAGCCCACTAGCCTGTCCGTATCCCTAATCTTTTTACCTTACCCCAATTTCGATAGCCTTCAAAAAACTGGGTGGGGGAATTTTTGACCCATAGTTTAGATTTTTTTAAAATATTTTCACAAACCACACTCCCAAATCTTAGATTTTGTGTTAAATGAGTCAAGCTGGTTGTGGGTAGCTCTCCTGCTTCAGCAGTTATGCTCAATTTTATAAGTTTTTAAACATAAAAAATTATGACACTCGGAAAAGTCAAGTTTTCGATTTTTTGACTGTTTCTTGAAACTTTTTTGACTTTTCCCCAAAAATACTCTCCCAATTATGTTCCAATTTTAGTTCCAATAGTTGGAATGGATTGTATGAAGCTCCCCTGCATCAGCAGATTCGCGCAAATTTTTTCCATGCAAAAATTTCGATTTTTCCAACGTTTTTTTTTTAATTATTATTTTTTCTAGAAAACTATCCTCTCTGAGATGCTGTGAAGTGTGAGATGTTGTGTTCAATGGAAAGAAAGAAAAGGTTGTGAGAAGCTCTTTTGCTCAAATTGCTACGCACATTTTTTAAACTAAAAAGTCACGCCCTCGCAAAGAGGACTTATTGAGATTTTTTGACCGTTTTTGTCATTTTTTGACTTGTCTCGAAAACTACCAGCCAAACCAAAGGAAAGGGTTGAGATAAGCTCTCCTGTAAAAGCTGTGACGTACAGTTTTTCTTAATATTAAGTTATGTTTGTGATTGAATCCACGTTCTTAAAGTCTTTCCTCCTTAATTTTATTACAAAAACAACTAAGGTTTTTGGTGAAGCGCAATTCTCGTGTTTTAAAAAAAAACCCATTTCGTTCCGCATCGAAAAAATAATTCGGAAATTATCAAACAAGTACCTCCAGCTTTAGCTGGGAATCTAGTGAAACAAGAAGAATAGCCAGTTGCTATGCAATAGCACAGAATGTTTCGAATACTACGATTAAGAGTCGAGATGAAGGTCTTGATGAAGGTCTTTTATAAAGGTCGTGATGATTTTTTCCCTTATTTTCTCGGAAAATTTTTCAAATTTGTTCAGGCTAAATTTTCTGTTTTTGTGTTTTGAATTTTGACGAATACCGACTTTGTAAAAGTCACGAAAAGATCGACTATAGTTTGGAGTTAGTTTCGTATAGTTTGGACTATAGTTTCGAAAGTGGAGTTAAATATTAAATATCCCAGCGAAATAAAGAAATCTATTGGTCCAATTTTCTCAAATTGGGTTGGTATTATCAAAAAAAGTTTCGATTCGAATTTATTCCAGAAATTCTGTTTCATTTTATTCTAGAAGTTTTTTTCTTTTCTTTTGTTTCTCTTTCATTGCGTTCATTAAGTCTTTTCCAACCGCTCGGTGGCTATATTTTATATTGTGTGTAGTTTTAAATGGCTTCCAGAGATAGAGATATATAAGGGACTTATTGCACAAGCAAGCGAGTGAGCATGGTCCTACCCAACACTGCAGCTGATGGCACTTTCGCTATCCTTGCATTGTCAATTAAATAGTATCTGTTGTATCTGATTTATGGATGGCTACCGTTTGCGTACTGTTAAACGATTATGGCATATATTCAAGGAAGTGAGACTCTTATTCTACTTGTTAAGTGTTCGTCTTCGATACATGTCATTGCACAATCCAAGCTTTGTCTAATGATGCTAAGCAATTTTTTCTTACCTGAGTCGCAAATAAAAGTGCACAATACGTGGCACGTATGAAATATTTCCAATCATGTGTTCAATGGAAAGAAAGAAAGGGTTGTGAAAAGCTCCTTTGCTCGAATTGCTACGCACTTTTTTTAAAACTAAAAGTCACGCCCTCGCAAAGAGGACACATTGAGATTTTTTGACCGTTTTTGTCTTTTTTTGACTTGTCTCGAAAACTACCAGCCAAACCAAAGGAAATGGTTGAGATAAGCTCTCCTGCAAAAGCTGTGACGTACAGTTTTTCTTATTAATAAGTTATGTTTGTGAAGTAATCCACATTCCTAAAGTCTTTCCTCCCTATTTTTGTTTCAAAGTTAATTAAGGTTTTTGGTGAAGCGCAATTCTCGTGTTTTTGAAAAAAACCCATTTCGTTCCGCATCGAAAGGATAATTAGGAAATTATCAAACAGGTACCTCCAGCTTTAGCTGGGAATCTAGTGAAACAAGAATAATAGCCAGTTGCTATGCAATAGCACAGAATGTTTCGAATACTACGATTAAGAGTCGAGATGAAAGTCTTGATGAAGGTCTTTTATAAAGGTCGTGATGATTTTTTCCCTTATTTTCTCGGAAAAATTTTCAAATTTGTTCAGGCTAATTTTTCTATTTTTGTGTTTTGAATTTGGACAAATACCGAATTTGTAAAAGTCACGAGAAGATCGACTGTAGTTTGGAGTTAGTTTCGTATAGTTTGGACTATAGTTTCGAAAGTGGAGTTTAATATTAAATAACCCAGCGAAATATACAATTTATCTATTGATCCAGTTTTCTCAAATTGGGTTAGTATTATCAAAAAAAGTTTCGATTCGAATTTAATCTAGAACTTCAGTTTCATTTTAATCTAGAAATTTTGTTTCTTTTCTTTTATTTCTGTTTCATTGCGTTCGTTAAGTCTTTTCCAACCGCTCGGTGGCTATATTTTATATTGTGTGTAATTTTCTATGGCTTCCAGAGATAGAGGTATGTAAAGGACTTATTGCACAAGCGAGCGAGTGAGCATGGTCCTAACCATCACTGCAGCTGATGGCACTTTCGCTGTCATTGCATCGTCAATTAAATAGTATGTTGTATCTGATTTATGGATGGCTGCCGTTTGCCTACTGTTAAACGACTATGGCATATATTCAAGGAAGTGAGACTCTTATTCTACTTGTTAAGTGTTCGTCTTTGGTACATTTCATTGCAAAATCCAAGCTTTGTCTAATGATGCGAAGCAATTTTTTCTTACCTAAGTCGCAAATAAAAGTGCCCAATACGTGGCAATTATGAAATATTTCCAATCATCTGTTCAATGGAAAGAAAGAAAGGGTTGTGAGAAGCTCCTTCGCTCGAATTGCTACGCACATTTTTTAAAACTAAAAAGTTACGCCCTCGCAAAGAGGACACATTGAGATTTTTTGACCGTTTTTGTCATTTTTTGACTTGTCTCGAAAACTACCAGCCAAACCAAAGGAAAGGGTTGAGAGAAGCTCTCCTGCAAAAGCTGTGACGTACAGTTTTTCTTATTAATAAGTTATGTTTGTGAAGGAATCCACATTCCTAAAGTCTTTCCTCCTTATTTTTATTTCAAAGTTAATTAAGGTTTTTGGTGAAGCGCAATTCTCGTGTTTTTGAACAAACCCATTTCGTTCCGCATCGAAAGGATAATTAGGAAATTATCAAACAGGTACCTCCAGCTTTAGCTGGGAATCTAGTGAAACAAGAATAATAGCCAGTTGCTTTGCAATAGCACAGAATGTTTCGAATACTACGATTAAGAGTCGAGATGAAGGTCTTGATGAAGGTCTTTTATAAAGGTCGTGACGATTTTTTCCCTTATTTTCTCGGAAAAATTTTCAAATTTGTTCAGGCTAAATTTTCTATTTTTGTGTTTTGATTTTGGACAAATACCGAATTTGTAAAAGTCACGAGAAGATCGACTGTAGTTTGGAGTTAGTTTCGTATAGTTTGGACTATAGTTTCGAAAGTGGAGTTTAATATTAAATAACCCAGCGAAATATACAATTTATCTATTGATCCAGTTTTCTCAAATTGGGTTAGTATTATCAAAAAAAGTTTCGATTCGAATTTAATCTAGAACTTCAGTTTCATTTTAATCTAGAAATTTTGTTTCTTTTCTTTTATTTCTGTTTCATTGCGTTCGTTAAGTCTTTTCCAACCGCTCGGTGGCTATATTTTATATTGTGTGTAATTTTCTATGGCTTCCAGAGATAGAGGTATGTAAAGGACTTATTGCACAAGCGAGCGAGTGAGCATGGTCCTAACCATCACTGCAGCTGATGGCACTTTCGCTGTCATTGCATCGTCAATTAAATAGTATGTTGTATCTGATTTATGGATGGCTGCCGTTTGCCTACTGTTAAACGACTATGGCATATATTCAAGGAAGTGAGACTCTTATTCTACTTGTTAAGTGTTCGTCTTTGGTACATTTCATTGCAAAATCCAAGCTTTGTCTAATGATGCGAAGCAATTTTTTCTTACCTAAGT